GAGTCATGTGAGCTTCGTCATGATCATATCTTGTTGAAGTTGCAGCTGGGGTGGATAAGTCTCACTTTGATTTCAAAAGTGGTTTCTCTTTGTGTTACTTTTAATAAAAAGAGGATGTAGTGGGTGGAAAGAAGAAGATGTAGGTCATGGATGAGAGATGAAAGTTGTACCTGAAACGTGTTTAGAAACGTACCCTGATGGTTTTGGTGGGGGCTTCTCCACATTGCACTGCTCATTTCTCAGGACTGACAGCCCATTTTGTTCGGTATTTTGACATCTGGCTTTCTCTCTTGATGTTAATTTTGCTTTCAGTCTGCATTCTTTTGAAACCCAAACACACAACCACCCTAACTGTTCCAAGGGAGATTTCATGCAACTCTGCTCTGTAGTAGTCAGAGATGAGCTGTATTTCTAGAATAGAATGAAGAGGAGAGCCAGGCAGAGCCATGGTGGGGAAACGAGAAATCCTTCTGCCCTTTCCGTGGTTTTCCAGAACCTTAAGTGGAGGTGTCCTCGCAGGCCAAGTGTGGTTGATTTGGGGATTCTTCGCCATTTGGTATTTGGAGACGGTGAGTGTTTTTAGAGGGAAGGATGGTTTGAGGAAAGTATGAACACGGGGCCGGGCAGGCTTCACGGAGGTAGGGGAGGGAAATGAAGTGCTGCGTCATGGGTCTCCTTAGTTCTCAGCCTAACACCGAGCAGGGACATGGGTGTCTTCCTCCCCACACTGCTCCTTTTTCCCCTTTAAAGTGTGTGTGTAGGCTCTGACAAGTCTCATCTGCTGCTTTGGTTTCGCTTACTATTTGACTGCACCTGTTCGGATAACTGCTGTCTCCAGCGTAGACTTCTTCTCTGAAGTTTCGCTCATGTGTCCGTTTGTCTACATGATGCTTCCCCCTCTGTATTCACAGGCACTTCAAATATGACAGGTCCAGAATTACTTTGGTCAATTTGGATTCACCCACTCGTCCTGCGTGCGCGGGGTACTGAAGAGCAGGCAGGGTCATGCGTCTTCTGCACAAGGAGAATCGACGCTTGGCAGCAGTCCTGGCTTTCTCTTTTCTCTTTCCCACTCATGACACACCACTAGCGGCATGGCACTGATAAGGTCGTTTGGGGGAACACTCTGTACCCCACGCAGCAGAGCAGTGGAGAGCCAGCAGCGTGCTGCAGGGGTCTGCATTACACTTGCAAGTTGTATTCCAGGAAATGCAATTTATTGCAAAAAGAAAAGAGAAATGAAAAAGTTTACAAATGTTCCCCGACTCTTCTCATTCAACATTTCATTGTTTTAAAAGTCAGTTTCATCTTAAAAATGTTGACTCTGAACAGGATGAAAGAAATATGGGTATCTTTATGTCATTGTACCAGAGTAAATGGCCATAAAAACTTATCCCAGAAGTGAAACAGTTTAAGCATAAAAGATGGGTGGAGTGGAAGGCTTATCAAATCTTCTATAGGCCACTTCACATCGACACCCAGAAAGCCATTTATCTCAGGCCTGGAGGTCCAGCTTCCTCTTTATTCTTGGAGAACATAGAGGAACAAAGTATCTGCTGCTTTTCATTACTGATGTCAGTGTTGATAGTCTTGCCCTAGCTGGTTTGGCTCAGTGGATAGAGCATCAGCCTGCGGACTGAAGGGTCCCAGGTTCGATTCTGGTCAGGGGCACATGCCTGGGTTGCGGGCTTGATCCCCAGTGGAGGACATACAGGAGGCAGCCAATCAATGATTCTCTTTCATCATTGATGTTTCTGTCTCTCTTTCTCTCTCTCTTCCTCTCTGAAATCAATAAAGATTTATATATATAAAAAAGTCTTACAGTAACATCTGCTCTCTCCCCACCTAAAATTGCTCTATGACTTATCAGTGACATAATTGCAAACATATGATGACCTGTGTCGATGCAAAAACGTCCTGTGTGAAGGACCAATGTAATTGCAAACTAAACATAAGGTACAAGATATAATATGGAACTTTGGAATCTTTCAGCATTCAGCTGTCCTCTCATCTAAGCCCCTTGTCCAAAGCTGCTGCTCCTCGTGTGTTTTTGTTTGTTTGTTTTGTGTGTGTGTTTTAATCTCCGTGGATGCGGTGCCACTATGTTCCTAGGTACCCAAGCCTGTTACCTGGGGGGTGGGGGGGTTTCATGTTCTGCACCTGGATTGCTCAGCAGTTTAATAGCTGATTTCCCAGACTTCAGTCTGTTCCCCTCTAGCCCACGCTCCACACTCCAGTTCCAATGAAATTTCTAATTCACAGCTGCTGCCCTTATCCAAAGACCAAAATCCTTAATTTCATCGTGTGGCCCTCCGTGACCAGTACCCTGCTTGCCTCTCCAGCCTTACGCCTCTTCACATCCTCCGTGTGGTCTGCACTCCAGCTCAGGTTGCTTTCACTGTTTTGAGGATCCGTTCTGTGTTTCTTGTGGGCCTCAGCACATGTTATGCCCTCTACTTACTGGTGGAACCTTCTCCTTTCTTTCTACGTCTGTGGCTTCCTCCTTATCCTTTTGTTCTTAACTTCAGTGTTGTTCCCTGGGAAAGTACCCTGGGCTCACCAGGCAGGGGTCATGCTCCTGCTCTGTCCTCCCCTGACTTCCTAGAACTCCTCCCTTGGCGCCTGACATACTTTATAATCATTTTTTGTGTAGTGGTCTTTCCGCCAATGTCACAATATTGGAAATGTATTTTTCTCTTTTTTTAATACGTTTTTATTGATTTCAGAGAGGCAGAGAGAGAGAGAAACATCAATGATGAGAGAGAATCATTGATTGGCTGCCTCCTGCACGCCCCCTACTGGGGATTGAGCCCGCAACCCAGGCATGTGCCCTTGACTGGAATCGAACCCCGGACCCTTCAGTCCGCAGGCCAGTGCTCTAGCCACTGAGCCAAACCAGCTAGGGCTGGAAATGTATTTTTCTTTCTTCGTTATATTCCTAGTCCCCGGAAGATAGAAGGTCTCAATAAATATTGAGTTTGTAAATAGGCAGAGTCTGGTGGAACAGGAGGAAGTGAAGTGCAGAATGTGTGTGCAGGAAAGGAGGGTTGGGTGGAAAAGGTACAAAAACAGTGAGGAAGGGAGGGTCTCTAAAGATAACTAGACAGGAGCGAGCAGAGAGGTTGTGGCCATACACTCAGCTAAGCATGTCAAGTGGTTTATAGTAAGTTTATTGAGAGATTTGGATACGGATAAAGGCTAAAAGCTTTTGTCAAGTGGGGGAAATATAAATTCAGTTGAGGAGCTATAGACAACCGAGACAAACACTGGTTGAAATTTGGAAAGTGAACGCAGTGAAATACGGACGGGGATTCTGAGAGGGTACTTGCTGGTGCAAGGGCATTGCAAGGGCAGGAGGTCCGTTAGCTGGACTCGGGCAGTGCTGTGGCCATGCTGTTGGAATGGCCCCAGAGCTCCAGTTGGAGCCAGCTAGTTATTGTAAGAGGATAAATTACAGTTGAAACATAGTAAAGTTTTTTAAAGTGCTTTAGTAAGCTTCAGTTAAAAAGTGCTTTTTATAGAGAAAATATACCTAAAGATAACCAGTGATGTTACTATCTTGCTGTTTTTTTGTAGGCCTATTTTTAAACATAGTTAAGATCATGCAGTATGAAGAGTATTTTTCAAAAAAATGTACCTTTGTTTATTATAGCATAAACATTTCTCCATGTTTTAAAAACCTGTTTTTAAGAGTATTTTCTATTTATTTTTTTAAAGTGTTTTTACTGATTTTAGAGAGAGAGAAACATGGATCAGCTGATTCTTACTGGGGATGGAGCCCACAACCCAGGAATATGCCCTGACTGGGCACTGAACCAGTGACCTCGAGGTGCATGGGATGATGCTCACCCAACTGAACCACACCGGCGAGGGCTTCAGCATTTTAAGTGGTTGCATTTTTGTTGTTGTTGTGTAGAAGTTCCATAGCTTGTCCCGGCTGGTGTGGCTCAGTTGGTTAAGCGTCGTCCCATACACCAAGAAGTGGCTGGTTCAGTCACCTCAGGTCACATACCCTGGTTGCAGGTTCGATCCCCGGTACGGCACATGTGGGAGATAAGCAGTTGATGTTTCTCTCTCACATCGACGTTCTCTTCCTCTCTCCCTCCCTTCCTCTCTCTAAGATCAATTAAATAAAAAAGGAGTAGTGGTACCATAACTTATCTGTTGCCCAGTTATTACCTTGTTTCTGATTTTTGTTTATAAAAATAATGCAAGGCTGAACAATGAACATCTTTGTGTGTAAAGTGTTTTCTTTCGATTATTTCCTTACTTTAGTTCAGCAGCGATTCTCCAACTTGGGTGTCCGTCAGTGTCACCTGGAAGGCAGGTTAAACACACATTGCTGAGCTCCACCCTAAGAATTTCTGGTTGAAAACTGGCCTTTCTAATGAGTTCCCAAGTGATGTTGATGCTGATGGTGCTGGTGTGGGGAGCAGCCTTTGAGAGCGGCTGGCCTATAATATTGACAGTGAAACTACAGTATTGAGGTTGGGTTTCTCAGTCAGTAGGAGTGATTATGATCTTGAATGAAACTGAGTTCATGTACCAACCTGTCTGTATCAGGAAGTTGAAGAGTGAAGAATTATATCAGTACCTCAGCATTGAGAATTGGTGAGCGTAGGTTCTGTGCTGGATATGGTGAGGTGGGGGTACTGTGGTGAACAATACAGAGCTCCCTTTTGGCCATTTTACAATCTGTTTGTGAGATAAAACAGATATAACAGAAGTGCCAGGAGGAAGTAGTAAACACAGGGCTTCAGAATTCAGAGGGAGGTGAGGTCATGTTTGGTTGACTTGTTAAAATGTAGGAGACCTGGAAATAGAAGGTCCAAGAAGAGCAAGGCTATCTTTAAGAAGCTTAAACAGCATGACGTGAGGAAAGCTTGGGGTTTCCAGCCAGGCAGGCCCAGGTTCAAATCCCAGTTCTGTGCTACGGTAACTGTGATCATTCCTCCCCCGAGTCTCTGTGCTCATCTGTAAGATGGGGATAGAGCCTCGGGATGTCGGTGGAGATAACGCAGAACGCCCAGCATGGTGTCCTGTAGGAAACGCTCACACACTGAGTAGTGGTAAGCTTCTTGACGGTTTTCATTGGCGCTGCTGAGCCTCACAGACATGAGCAAGGCCAGCTAGCCAGCAGCCACCCACAGGCAAAGAAGTGGTGGATGCTGCTCAGACAGCTTTTCTCTGGATGAAAGTTAAAAGGAACTTTTGTTAACAGAAAATGGGGGGACCCAGCAAGTGTGAAATATGCTGCTACTTTGTGTAATGTTATCTTGAGTTAGACTCCGGAGTGGACTTGGAATGAATTTACGTAGAACTTAGAGCAGCGTGCGTACTCGCTGCTGTCTTCAGGGCTGCTGGGGAGGAGGCATTTTCCCTCTTTTGACCACACTGTAAACTGGCCCTTCCCGCTCCCTGTCGGCTCTCCTGCTTTAGTGTCCACAGCACGGACTTGTATTTGCTTGCGCGTTGTCTGTCTCCCACACTGAAATGAGTGCTGCTGTAGGCGAGGCCTTAGTTCTGCTTAAGGCTGTCTGTCAGGACGTACTCAGTGCCTGGCAGGTAGCAGTGAATGAGTGAACTGGTGCCCCAACCAGCTGAGGAGGTTAGGGGAAGAAGGAGAGAGCATGCGGTGGGTTCTTTATTTTATTCATGGTTTTCTGAGCGTATTTAACCTCCGTGGCACTTCACTTGTATTTTAAGCTCCTGCTCTATTTTGAGGACATCCTAAATCCAGTGGAATGATTTTGTTTCTGCAGGGCTATTTGTTGAGAGAAAAGGAAAGCATCAGCTCAAATATTTTTAGACAGTTTCTGCAGAGACTTAAGTCACCAAAATTGTATTCCAAAAGTTTTCTTGATTTTGGGAGAGGCAGCAGAGTTGCTGTTGATTACAAGTGACTTGTAGAGTAGACGTACTTTACCTTGTTTCCTCTTGCTCGGTATCAAATAAAAACATTTTTGTGCTTGTTTTATTTTGGTAGCAGCGCTCTTTACTTTTCTTGGGTTCCAGGTCATTCTGGTAAAATCATTAATGTTGATTTTTCCCAGGGATTAGTTTGGTTTTCTTAGTTCTGCTTCCTGGTGTCCACTGGGCTGATAGTCTGTATTTGTTGAGGGCAGCAGTAATAGGATAGTATCACTTCTTGTTCTCTAATTGGGTTATGTGTTATTTTTGTAAAATATTTACTTTCCCAGTTTTGGTTTGCTCATTAATACATTTGTTGCTCTTGCTCCACCTCACCTGATAAGAAACTGATATAGCTCAGATTGGCAATTGGCAGGTTGAGTTGGCTACCTTGATCTTAGGAATTCTAAACATACAAGCCAGAAATATCTTTAATTTAGAAGTTAGGTCACTGCATAATATGATACTCTTTAAGATACCAAAATTACCACTGCCTGATATGGACATGGACTCGTGCTCAGATTTCCCTCATTGCCACAGCATCTTTCCACGGTTGGTTGGTGTGACCTGGGACCTAAAAAGGTTCCCACATTAGCTTGCTTGCCATGTTCATGTCTAGGAGCTGTCGCCCCTCCCTTCTTTCCCATGCTGTTTATTTCCTGAAGACATTGGGTCATTTGTTCTCCCGGAATTCTAACATTCTGGGTGTGGCTGATTGCTTGCGAAGGTTATTTAATTTGGCAACATTCAACATTTATGTTTTAAAAACTAAAAGTTAGATCTTGGTTAGATTCAGGTTCAATTTGTGTGGTTTTTTGTAAGAATACTTCATAACTTGTGCACTGGGCACTTCATAATGTGGTACATTAGGAAGAGTTTGTTGTCTGACTCTCATTTTAGTAATATTACAATTGATTAGTAGGTTTAGGTGTTAATAACTTTTTTGCCTTTATTTCAGAAAAGCTTGATTCTTTGCTCTCAGACTACGATATCCTCTCTTTATCCAGTATCCAACAGCACTCGGTAAGAAAGAGAGATCTACAGGCATCAACACATTTAGAAACACTGCTGACGTTTTCAGCATTGAAAAGGTAATTTGAATTATTCAAAGAAAAATGTTGGGGCAAGCGAGACTTGGTTTGGCAAAAGCAGAAAAATAAGTTGTTTTTCCCCCCAAAGGTTACTTATTTTTTCAATTACCGTTGATATACAATATTATATTAATTTCAGGTATATACGGGTATCTTGGGAAGTTACATTTTTAAAGATTTGTAATTAATATAATTAGTTTGTCAGATTATTACACTGTATATTGCCTATTCTAAAATTTACACTGATGATTATTTTTAAAAAGTAAATAGGTATTCCCAAAGTGTCAGTGATGGTCATAATATGTTTATCGAATTCTAACAAAGAATTTTAATTAATTGACCAAACTAAGCGACCCTGGCCGGGTGTGATGATGGATATTAACTAGACTTACTGTGATGATCTTTTGGTGATATATACAAAAAATAGAAAAATGTTTGTGGTTACTGTAAATCCTTAAAAGTCAAAGATAAATGAAAATTACAAAAGAATTCTGTAAGTACACGACTTCACATAATTTTGGGAGGATAGAGTAACAAATAAATTCCGACTAATATATTCTGTGGGAGGCTTTATAGCTGAAAGTTGAAGATTGGAAACTCAAAAAACAGGAATTTTATATCACTTGGCCCCTAGTAATGTAGAAAGTGAAGAGCACAATTCCAGTGGTTTTTCTGGAAAGAACATTAAGTACAAGCAATGTAGGACTCCTGGAGCGCTCTAACATGAAATGATAAGGCATGGATAGTAAGTTCTCAGCACAACTGACGGGAAAAATCATACCTGTGAACGTGCGGGAAGACAATGTTAGGAGAGCGGGAGAAAATGTTCCAAGGTTTTCTGAAACAACGTTCTATCGTCTCTTTCTCTGTGACCATTAAAAAAACAACCCGCAAGCAAACTAAAATTACCTTGTTATGCTCAAAAATGTTAAAAATATTTGTTGCCATGGAGACAATCTTAGTCTAGATTCTTGCAGTTGAGGCTTATGCAGACCCATAGGAAGTAACATTTCATATTTTCAACACCATAGCTGACAAAATTTGTTCCTGGGGCTGAGATGAAAAACATACCTTTATTTTTGATGTTCATGGGCACATTGAAAGGACTCTGTAAATAATAATTGAAAAATTCTTGCTCGCTATGCCTAGTTTTTAAGTCAAGACTGAAACTCATAGAAAACAAAAGGATATTAAGCTAACTGAAGAACTGCAGTGTGTATTTTAATGTCTGTGTTGTTTTTGCCTTGTATTTATTTTCCTTGTGGTATTGTGGATTAATTTTTTTCAAGATCTTTTTAGAAGGAGCAGAAAAGCATGAGTGCTTTTAAATACAAAAAAGTAGCATTTATTAATTTTACACAGCAATAACATTAGATTGATTGCTAGCGGCAGCATAGGACAGGCTTCGGAAATGAGCCAAATTCAACTTTCAGCTCCAGCTGTATAACCTCAGATATGTTGATTAATTTCCAAGCCTCAATTTTTACCGTGTGAAGTGGCTATGACATATACCAGTACAGAGCATCTAGGACTGCGTAGGTGTTCAATAAATAGTCTCAAATAATATCAGATTTTAGTAACTTTTTAAGACAAGCAGGACTTCGACTTACACTCTCCAGATGCGTGTTTCCTTATTCTTCAGCCTCTAGAAAGGATGAATGCCTAAGCTGCTCGAGTCTTCTTTCCCAGTTCTAGATGCTCTTGGCTGCCAGATTCTTACACTAAAGAGATTAGTCCTTTGTGTTTACAGGAGGTACGGTGCTCTAAGTACCTAGTAAAACAGTAGTGAAAACTTGCATGGCATTTTATTAATATCAACTCTTCTGTCAACTTCTTTTTTAAGGGAGTTTAGTTAAATGAAAATTAGGCTTCCATTTTATGTTCTTAGAGTAAAATATAGATGCTTTCTTTCTTCAGGCATTTTAAATTATACCTGACGTCAAGTACTGAACGCTTTTCCCAAAATTTCAAAGTTGTGGTGGTCGATGGTAAAAATGAAAGCGAGTACAGCGTCAAGTGGCAAGACTTCTTCCGTGGACACGTGGTTGGTGAGTATGGCGCTTGTTTGCCTTTGTGTCTGGGGTCGGAGGTGTCCAGATCTAACTTGATTGCATATTCTTTTTTGGGGGGAGGGAGAAGGAGTATCAGAACTGCTGTTCTTTGTTTTACTTGAACTATCTAAGTTTGGAAGCAAAAACATTCAAGCAGGAGGATAAGGGTGTTACCAGCTGCCACACTAGCTGACCACTTGGATGATTGAAATGATTTCCTCTCGCCGAAACCGGTTTGGCTCAGTGGATGGAGCGTCTGCCTGCGGACTGAAAGGTCCCGGGTTCGATTCCGTTCAGGGGCATGTGCCTGGGTTGCGGGCATTTCCCCAGTGGGGGATGTGCAGGAGGCAGCTGATCGATGTTTCTCTCTCATCGATATTTCTAACTCTCTCTCTCCCTTCCTCTCTGTAAAAAATCAATAAAATATATTTTTAAAAAAAAAAAAGAAAAAGAAATGATTTCCTCTCAAGTGATGAGAATGTAGCCTTTTCTTTAGAGAAGGATTGTACACTCCCCTTAGGAGATTTTACACAGAGAACCTAGGAGATAAAGTAATTGACTTCATGATCCTGTTTTATATTTAAGAAAATGTATCCAACTAGCAATTGTTCACTTCTGGAACTTTTTCTACAGTCAGAAACAAATGGCATTAAAGTCGTCAAATAGTAGAGTTCAAGACCTCTGTGTTTCAAATTATGTTTTGTGCCTCCTCTTAGTTCTTTCTTCACCCAAAGTAGACAAAGTTATTCCAGGAGGAAATTACAGGTTGGCTGGTTTTGTTCTGTAACAGACTCTATTCTCATTCAGAAGCTGGAGGCGAGAGAGAGGTGTCAGAGGACTGGATAGAGGCCCCTCCTGAGGCGAGTCCCTCTCTGCTCCGGGTGTTTTCTTGGTGTTCAGTGTCTGGGCAGATGCACTCTGATGAAGGGCTTTGTTGAGTTTTAATGGCAGTGCGGCATAGTTTATTTTTTGATATAAATATTTTTTAATGAAAAACATTTTTTTTCTCTTTAAGGTGAGCCTGACTCTAGGGTTCTAGCCCACATAGGAGATGATGATATTACAATAAGGATCAACACAGATGGGGCAGAATATAATATAGAGGTAAATCTAAAATGAGTTTTTTCTTAGCATATATCTTTTTTTCATCAAATGTCTATTTTATTAAATTTATTGGAGTAACATTGGTTAATAACATAAATTTCAGGAGTACAACATTATAATAGGACATCTGTATACTCAATTGTGTGCTCACCCCGGAAGTCTCGTTTTCTTCCGATACCATATATTTGACCCCTGTGCCCTCTTCGTCCTCCTCTCACCCCTTCCCACCTGGTAACCACCTTGCCGTTGTCTGAATGAGTTTGCCTTTTGTTTGTTGCTTTTTGTTTCATATCCCATAGATGAGTGAGATCATGTGGTTTTTGTCATTTTTCTCTCTGACTTCACTTAATTATCTCTGATTTTTAAAAAGTCGTTTCTCAGTTGTTGTAAGAAGACAAAGATCTATAAGTATACTTCTTTTTTCCTTGTATTTAAAGATTCTTAATTAGGAAAGTAGATGATGTTTTAAAGAAGGTGATATTTTTTACAAAATGGCTAAGAAGCTGTCATAAGATGCACTCTGTATTTCTGATACCGTAATTGAGTAAAAATCAAATGTGGGTGGATAATAGGAAGAGAAAACTTCCTTTCCCTCCCGACTCATTTTTTCCTTATTCTTACTCTAATAATCCTATTATTGGTGTAAACATTCTCAAGGATGAAGGTGAAGTCTTATTTGTCCATTTCTCCTTTTTTTCCCCTCCAAGATGCTCTGGAAATGCAAGATCAATGAAGGGTAATAGTTTAGAATCTGAGGCAGGGGTCCTCAAACTTTTTAAACAGAGGCCCAGTTCACTGTCCCTCAGACCGTTGGAGGGCCGGGCTATAGTTTAAAGAAAAACTATGAACAAATTCCTATGCACACGGCACACATCTTATTTTGAAGTAAAAAAACAAAACGGGGAACATATACAATATTTGTATTTGCATGTGGCTTGCGGGTCGTAGTTTGAGGACCCCTGGTCTGAGGGGTTAAAAGAGGAAACTAGGAAACTCGGGCCGCTCTCTTGTTCAAGTACTAGCAGTAAAACCAGGGCTGCGCTGGTCACGTTTGTGCAGGACAGATAGCCGTGTGTCAGAGATTAGTCTGGAAAACATTTGCCACAGATGGTGGGTCGAAGGTATTCTCTGTTTCTAGGAAAATTCGAATACTCTGGGTATCATCAAAACAGAACACCTGTGGGAAAACTATAATGAAGATTGGTTAAAAGGAAAGGTTCAGGTATATTTCAGTGCTGACAATCCATGCATAGTCAAAAAAATCTCTTGTCCTCCTCAAAATCTCTTGCATGGATTTTTTTCCCTTCCAATTTAGGGTCCAGTCATGGTTATTAGTGGTGGTTATTATAGGATTCAGCACTCTCTTAGAAATGGTGAGAATAGGATCTGCTTTTAGTACTAGTAATAGTGACTCCCTTCATTTTGAAATCTTAATATGTAACTGGATTCATATTTGACATTATCTTCAGGAGAGGTGTTACCACTGCCTTACCCAGTGAGAACAGTTACGCTCAGATACGTTAACATCTCCAAGGCATGCGGTGGGGTACAGTGAGGTTTGAACCTAGGCATATCTGATCCTGAAGCCTGCTGTCTTTTTCTCTGCAAGGTGGGCTATATTATGAAACGATTAATATAAATTTAGAAATGTTTGTGCCCAAAGAAAAAAATGTCCTCTTCCTGTTCGTAGGCCAGGTGCAGGTTTGTGAAGGTTTCGATAGTGAGGAGTTGGTTAGTGAACTTTTTGAGGTCTCTGTTAGCCTGAGGTTCTGTAACCATTGTTTTTAAATCTGCCTCCTACATGGATTATAAGAGAGTATATATGTATTTAACAGCTTCATTGAGATACAATTCACTGTACAGTTTACCCATTTAAACTATATAACTTGGTGGTTTTTAGTATGTTCATAGAATAGTGTAGGTGTCACCATGATCAGTTTTAGAACCTTTTTATCACCCCCATCACCCTTTTCTCCCTACTCCCCTAGCCCCAGGCAACCACTGATCTGCTGCTCTCTCTAGATTTGCCTGGTCATTTCACATAAGTGGAACTACACAGTGTGTGGGCTTTTGTGACTGCTTCTTTCACTTATTATGTTTTCATGCTTCATTTGTGTTGTAGCATGTGTCAGTACTTTATTTCTTTTTATAACCAAGTAACATTCTATTGTATGGATATATCACCTTTTGCTTATTCCTTTAGCCATTGGATATTTGAGTTGTTGCCACTTTTTGGCTATTATGAATAACGCTGCTGTGAACACTTGTGCAAGTTTTTGTTTGAGCACATGCTTTCATTTCTCTTGGATATAAACTAGGAGTGGGATTGCTGGGTCATACAGTAACACTGTTTTCCATAGTGACTGTACTTGACAAGCTCACATTTTACAGCCCATGTGACATGTGCACCAGCATGCATGAGAGTGCTTTGCCCACCTCCTCGCCAACACCTGTTGTGGGTGTATTTTTTATCATAGTCTTCCTGCTGGGTATGAAGTAGTGTTTTCTTGTTGTTTTAATTTCATTTTCATGATGGGTATGGATATACGTGTGTGTATGTAAATTTTATCTTTTTGAACCCTTCTCACAAGCTGTTTGGTTCTGATGAGACCAATGTCCCTTACGGACAGGAACTTGAGTTCGAAATAATAAACATTCTTTTGACTTGGGTACCCTTTTGAGTATGTTAGTTCTGATTTATGGTGGCCTTGCAATATTGTAAGTGAAGGTATTTTTCTTTCCTGTGCATGTAAGATGTTAAGGAAACGAGAATGAAAAAGCATCGGAACAGAACCTTGTCTAACTCTCATGCTGTCTGCCCATCACCCAGCATGGTTGGTGTTAACATAAATATTTTGAATCAGTGAATGGAAAAGGATATGCATTTTTTCTTCTGGTTCTTCTAAAAGGTTTCATAACTTGTGCAAAATAATGCCCTTCTTTATCTACAGATAAAATAAAAAAGTGAATAATCCATGTATTTGTTTCCCAGCATAGAAACTCTTACAATAAAAATTGAAATGGCCGAAACCGGTTTGGCTCAGTGGATAGAGCGTCGGCCTGCGGACTGAAAGGTCCCAGGTTCGATTCCGGTCAAGGGCATGTACCTGGGTTGCGGACACATCCCCAGTGGGAAGTGTGCAGGAGGCAGCTGATGTTTCTCTCTCATCGATGTTTCTAACTCTCTATCCCTCTCCCTTCCTCTCTGTAAAAAATCAATAAAATATATTTTAAAAAAATAATAAACAAAAATAAAAATTGAAATGGTTTATTTCCTATGAAAATGACTAGTCAGTTTACTTAACCTGGAAATGAATCTTATCTAAAAACAAGGAACTGATGTAAGAATTTAATGTTTAGGAATTTTTATATTTTCCATCTCAATTATATTTTTTCTATTTTAGCCACTTTGGAGACTAATTAATGATACTAAAGACAAAAGAATATTAGTTTATAAATCTGAAGATATCAAGAATGTTTCACGGTTGCACTCTTCAAAAGTGTGTGGTTACATAAAGGCGGAAAATGAAGATTTGCTTCCAGAAGGGCTGGTAGATGGAGAGGCACCTAAGGGTAAGACTTAAAAAACATATTTCAAGTAGGAAACTAGCACTGTGCTGTCTTCAATAGGGTTGTTAAGTTGATTTCTTTAAAAAGCATGTTTTTCAAGTAACTATAGTATTTGGCTGGAAAATAGCTCTGTTCAGAAATTTTTATGTTAATTCTTTTGCCTATAATATAAGAAATAAAAACACTAGAAAATAATCGTAACAGTAAAGATTAGACTTTAAAAAAGATTGGGGAAAGGGGAATTGAATAATCAGAGGGAAAATATTTTTTTTATTTGCAGGTATTTATAAATGACAAAATAATACTGCTGTAAAACAATCTTTAGATAAGTGATAAGACATTGCTCGGTAGCAGGAAAGCTCTTTAATGATTGGAAAGATGAAGCTTATCAGTTTGGGGCAGATCCATTTAGCACTTTTTGAAAACAACCATCTTGGAGAAATAGTCTACTGTCCTTATTTTTGCAAACCTTAGAAAATATTACTAGCATTTTAGTATATAAATAAATTCTTAAACAATTTGATTATTTGATAAGAAAACCCATTAACACAAACTGGTTTTTAATGTCTGAATACCTTGATATTTTTGCCATTACTTTGGTTAATTTGTGGACTTCTAGAATAGAGTGAGAGCTTCATAGCGGAGCAATAAATAGCTGATTGCTTTACTTGCAAGTACTTTTTAAAGTTGCCTCATTTTAAAAATTACAGACACTTTTCCTTGGTTTTGAATTCTACAATTTTTAAAAAAAATATATTTTTATTGATTTCAGAGAGGAAGGGAGAGAGGTGGAAACATCAGTGATGAGAAGGAATTATTGATCAGCTGCCTCCTGCACACCCCCTACTGGGGATCAAGCCTGCAACCTAGGCATGTACCCTTAATGGGAATCAAACCCAGGACCCTTCAGTCCGCAGGCTGATGCTCTGTTGACTGAGCCAAACCAGCTAGGATTTGAATTCATCAATTTTCAAACCTCATATTACTTTTCACTTTTCCTTCAAATTGTGGGGTGTTTTTTTTTTGTTCAAGATACCTGTAAGGAAACTAAATTCCTGTAATGTTTGTTTCAAAACTATGCTAGGTTTAAAGAGTTACTATAAAACTTCCTTGTTTGATGAACTTGATGTAATAGTGCTTACAAATTCCTATTAGAGCTTGTTCATCGGGTGAGGAGAAGAGCCGACCCTGATCCCATGAAGAACACGTGTAAATTACTGGTGGTGGCAGATCATCGCTTTTACAAGCACATGGGCAGAGGGGAAGAGAGCACCACCACCAATTACTTAGTAAGTATTTGATACGGGAGAAGGTAACGGACAAAAACACTCATGTAGGTAGACTCATTTCCCTTAGGAGAGGACTGCACAATTTGAAACAGGAAGAAATGGATCTGTTTCAGGTGCCGTATTATTTCATAAAATACTTGAGGGCTATCTGAGGTTCTTGCATTACTGCATAGAGATTTTAGTTTCAGATATTTGAAAACCTGTTTTACCTTTGAACTATTATTTTCTGCACAGTAGAATTTTTATGCATATTAGGGTTAGGGAGAGTTCATTATATAGGCCTCTCTTTATCCAAGTGAATTCTTTGAAAACATTACTGCTATAATGGCAGTGATCTTACTGGGACATGTGAATGTTGCTCTAGAGTGGAAAATGTATAAAGAATAAACATTATGCTAGTTTTTGTAATTGGTAGAAACTTTTATAATGGCGTTTTCTCTCAACTGATTTTTGCTTATATGCATATTTCAGAGAAGATGGGTTTGGTTTGTGCCATAAAATGGTTAATTATTGGGCTCTGAGAAATAGGTGGGACCTTCATGCTTATAACCAACCTGCGGGCTGCGAGTGAAGATTACAGAAGTATTGACGCTGGATTTTTAAGCATTTACCGTTGGAATTTTGAAAAGTCAAGGGAATCAGATTTCATTGACATTTTTCATAGTATGACCTCATTTGTCTGATAACTTGGCACTGACCAAAATGCTGTTTAGGAAATAAGCGAATGCAGCTCTTCATGAGCCGAGAGTCTAGCTCAGTAAAGACGTCTTTCTCGTTGCCTCTCGGGGCCCTTCTCTGCCATACCCGCCCTCACCCTTCTCTCTCCTCCTCGCCAAGTGAAAGAAGTCATTGTGAAGCTAGTAGGAGCAGTGTGTGAAGTCACTGTAATTCTTGCTCCTATGAAAGAGAGATTTCCTGAAAAAGTTTCTTAATAGGGCTTTGTGTTAAGGAGTTCTCTTAATTTACTTCTTTGTTCATTACAACAAGAATATGAATATAATGAGAGGTTAACTAGTACAGACAGTCCTCGGGGTACATCGGACTGGACGTATGTCCTTTCGTGGTTACGTCGCCATCTCCCATTTATATAAAAAAAGTTCCGTCATTTCGACGTATGTACATATGTGCTTTATGGTTTTTATTATTTACTTACCACAAGTGAAGGTCAGGAATTGTTCTTTCTTTCTTTTTTTTGGTATTTACTGTTTCTTTTTTTTTCCTTTTCCATTTTCTTTTTCTTTTTTTTTTAATTGTTTTATTGCTTAAAGTATTACAAAGAGTATTACACATGTCTCCTTTTTTTCCCGCCCTTGACAATCCCCTGGTGTTCTCTTTCTTTTAATTTTTTTTTTTTTACCGTTTCACTTCATTACTGCTGTGTATGTGCTCCCAGTGAGTGACCTAGGTGCTTATGGAGGTGGGTTTTGACTTACAGCGAAAATCGTGTTACGTGGGAACGGATCTCTGATGTAACCTGAGGACTTACTGTACTCTTAAAATTTGCACTTCTTAGTCTTACAGT